CGAAAAAAAAATCTTACTGTCTTTTACTCATTGAGTCAATGCTTTTACTATACTATTTTTAATTTCGCTGCCGGGAGACAAAATATCAAATAAAACACAGCTATGGAATACAACGAAATATCAAATATAACACAGCTATGGAATACAGAAAGTGCTCATACCTACGAGAATGGTGTCGTGAAGTAAATGTGAGATAGATAGATAGATAGATAAACACTTTATTGCTCACACACAAGAACAAGAATAGTACATAAACAACTTAAAACTAATGTGGGCAAAGGCGGTCTTATCGCTAAGAGCGATCTCTTCCAGACAACCTTAGGGTTAGAGGAATGCTAATCGGAGCGGGAGACGTAGTGTGCCAATTTTACAAATATAAAAATAAAAATATTAAAAAAAAATAAAATTGTATAAATAAAAAAAAATAAAAAATACAAAATAATAAAATTAAATAAAGACACATAGTAATTTATAAAATATTTAAAAAATAATGATATATTATACCTACGTAGATATAATGTATATATAAATATACCTAAATAAACTTATACTTACTAATAACTTATACTTACTAATACATACGTTGCAGACTAGGACCGTGATAAAAGATGTTTACGCAATCCGGTTTTGAAAATAGGTAGCGACTTAGAATGTCGGATTTCAAATGGGAGATCGTTCCACAAATTTACAGCCTGAATAGTAAAAGAATTTTTGTAATACTCCGAGCGAGTGAAAGGAGGCTTCAGTAGGTTATCCATTTTAGACCTTAGTTCACGGTTGTGATCATCCCCGAGGAAGTGAAAACGAACCTTAAGGTATGGAGGAGTACGAGGGTCGTATAGAACATTGTAAAGTAAGCTGAGAACGTGCTCCTCACGGCGCAACTTGATAGGGAGCCACTGAAGCCTTCTCCTAAATTCGGCCACATGATCGAACTTGCGCAATCCGTATATGAATCTGATGCAAAGATTCTGTAGACGCTGGAGTTTGCTTAACAGATCCTCGTTAAGGTCAATGAAGCAGACATCAGCGTAATCAAGAATAGGTAAGAGCAACGATTGCGCAAGTTCAACCTTAGTCCTCACAGGAAGCAGATTTTTCCAACGCCGCAATGACCCAGAGGCAGCAAACACCCTCCTACTCACCTCAGCGATATGTGGCGACCAAGACAGAGTGGAGTCAAAAAGAACGCCAAGATTTTTAACAACATTACTGTAAGGCAGAGGGAAGGAGTTGAAGAAAAGCGGGGGAATAGTGGCATTATTTAATTTGGCGATTTGCTTCGAGCCTCCAACGACGATGGCCTGCGACTTGTTAGGATTGACCGTAAGGCCATGGGTTCGACTCCAATCGTGTATAGTCGCGAGATCGTCATTAAGTTCGGCGATTAAATTGTCCACGTCGTACACAGGAGACTGAGAATAAATCTGAAGGTCATCGGCGTACAAGTGATACTGGCAAGAAAGTAAGGGAGTAAGGGAGTTTATAAAGATGGAAAAAAGAAGAGGAGAGAGAACCCCGCCCTGAGGCACGCCTGCAGTAACGTCACAGAAGCTAGAATGCTTATTGTCAACACGAACACATTGCCGACGCCCAACGAGATAGTGGCGAAACCACTCCACTACCAAATCTGACACAAGGACCGATTTCAGCATTGCTAATAGAATATAAAAGTCAACAGTATTGAACGCGTTGCTAAAATCTAAAAGAACTAATACTGTCAGATGTTGATTCGACATACCCTCGCGAATGTCATCAGATACCTTGGTTAAGGCAGTAACAGTGCTATGCCCTGAACGGAAGCCAGATTGGAAAGGACTAAGGATATTGCACGAGTTCACGAATATTGTAATCTGGCAATGGACAAGACGCTCAAGAACTTTGGAAACGAACGGAAGAATAGAAATAGGACGAAAATGAGAAGGTAAAGATGGATTGGAGGTTTTAGGTATAGGTACTACAGCAGCTTGACGCCAGCAGCTCGGGAAGGTGCCAGTGTCGAGAGAAAAGTTGAAAATATGGCAAATTATAGGAACAAGAATAGAAGAACCGTGTAAGATCATCTTACGGTTTATTCCATCCAGCCCTTCAGCATTGGATTTAACGGCCAAGATATTTTTCTCAACTTCGCCCTCGGTCACGGACCTAAAAGAGAAAGCCCGATGTTGTGAGTCGTAAGCGGAGTGAGATACTTCAAAGTCTACACATTTATTGTTGTGAAGATCACTTTGAAGCATGTTGATAAACCTGTATAAAACAACACTTTGTCTTTCTTTACACTGTTAGTACTTTTGTAAAATTTCCGAGGTAATAATAGTCTATTAGTTTTGTAGACGACCGGAGATTTGATGAACTATTTCAAAGTAAAAATTATGAAATATGAGCAAAAACTCAAACGCACAGTCAAACTGCGCAATATCAGTATATTAAATGAGGTATGAATTCAATAGTTTAATTTGTATAATTGTAAATTTATCTATTGTATAATATATAAAGCTAATAATAATATGTTTTCAGCATCCAAGTGAATCAAAAGGATGTAAATTACAAATACTGCTATTCCAACCTAGTACCAGCATAACAGCAATAAAAGAAAACATGGAGAGTTTGTGTAGTCCCCAATATGTCTCCGACTTGCACATTAATTGTGAAGTTTATTTAGTAATGATTATTCTCGTGCTATGAAGCATTCCTATAATAAAAATCTTGTTGGTTGTATTAAGAAGTATCCAATCTACTTTTTAGATATATGTAGCAAAACAGTGTGAAGTAAAAATGGTTGACAAAAGTACAAATTATAGAATAAGGGAAACAACTAGTGCTAGGACGACAGCTGAAACAGTTTCTTCTCGAGAAGTTTCTTCCACCGCTATTCCTTCTCTGTTTGGTTCTACATCCAAAATGGAAGAATGAACTTTACTATGGACAAGGCAAAAATAGTGTTAAAAAGTACGAAACATATTGTTAGGTAGATAGTACGAGTATCTATGCGTGCCTCTTGGCATAAGCCTCATCCAGACCTTTCCAGTGCTCTATTAAGAGCTACTCTTCTTCAACACGGCCCTGCAGTTAGCTCTATTACGTTTTCCATCACGTGGATACCAAGTGATGACTACTTTGCTCCATTTTTCCGGCCCACATAACATCTATTTCATTTTAAATCTATATAGATATTTCAATATTCAAATTAGTGTCTTAAAATAGTCTATATTGTCGAAAAAAAATTAATGTACAATGCCCATTATCGTTATTTACATTTATAATAAATAAGACAGTCTACTAAAACTTTTACCTTATGGAATATTAAGATAAAATAAAAATAAATAAAATGTTTATTTCAGTAATACAATTAACTTTATATTAACAGTGGATGGTACCTCCTATTAAGCTTATAAAGCCTGTATCAGGAGGCACCGCTCTTCCATAGCTATAAATGCATATTTAACATTTTTAACTTATACTTAGTGTAGTGTTTAATTTTTACATTTCCATACATCGTCTTCTTAACTTCTAATTTTAAATTTAATTTGTGTCTTAAAACCTATGTGTGTGCTTTTGTATCAAAAAGTATGTGCATGTGTGTCGGTACAATAACAATATCGTACAGTGTTACCTGTGGTTTTGCAATTATGAATCTTTAAGTCAAAATTATTTTTGGGCTGAGTGTCATTATTTATACTAAAATAGATGTAGTTTGTTTTATTAGTATTTAACGTAACATAATTGTTACTTAACCATCTGTTTGCACGCTCCGCATTAGAGTTCAGAGCATCCCAAGAATTATCAGTGAATACAATGGCTGTATCATCAGCATAAGAGAAAATATTACCGTCCTTGATCTGTATATCACATAGGTCATTTAAATATATAAGAAAAAGCGTAAACATTTACTATGGATATGGTATTTTGCATATAAAAAATTGTTTTGAATATTCAAAATTCATTCTGCATGACTGGTTTATGTGCAATCCACTATGGAGGACAACATTATTAAACATTAACTTGCTGCTACGTAGTTACGAAAAAGGTGTTGGGAAATGCCTTTTTTTCGGGTATTATATTATTGCGTATTTTTGATAATCATCATCAATCAAACCAATGATTCCAGCTATTCAGTTCCATTACCTCGTTGATTTGTTTGAAAGAACAAATATTATGCGATTTAAATATGAAAAACAATATAGTTTCATTTCTAATGTGCAACAATTGTAAAAATTTAAGAAAAGGGGTTTGATTTTATTTTAAAATATTCTAATATTATAAGTAATCACCGGGTAGCAATATTAATTATCTACGAATTGCAATGTTTGTCTCTAAACGTGAGTAGCATAGGAAACGCTTCAATAAGCGTTGCCCACGTTTCCTTCTCTAAATTTTATATTACCGCATTCGGTAAGATAAAGTTTAGATCCCCATCTAAACTTCATCTTACCGAAATTTCGTTCAAGGATTTTGGTTGTAACCCCTTTTAGTTTCTTGCTGATTTTTAACCGACTTCAAAAAAGGAGGAGGTTCTCAATTCGACTGTATGTTCTTTTTTTTGTTTTTTTTTTGTATGTATGTTACGCGATAACTCCGGTATTTGTAAGCCGATTTTCATGATTCTTTTTTTTGTTGGAAAGGGGGTACTTCCATAGTGGTCCCATTTCATTTTGAAGAAAATCATCCACCTTGAAGGGTGGCTGTTCACGCATGAAGATTCATTTTTATAAATAGCGCCTAACTTTAATTTAGGAGCAATTACTTTAATGGTTGATTTTGCTATTTGTCCAATTCAAGGCGTTTCTCTCTCGACATACTTTGAGTAGTGAGAACCGATTTTTATTATCTCCAGTGTCAAGTCCTGTATAGTGGCGAACATATTTCAATAAAACTTAGCAAAACGTAATTCCTCGTACTTTTGAGGTCGGTTTTTTAGTACTCTGTACTGAGATTATCTCTATTTCTGCATTATTTTGTATGTTAAGGGGAGTTTTCACCTATCCGTTGTTTGTTTCCAGGTGGTTGTTTGGCATGTGACGCGGGCGCAGTGAGCGGCATGCCAGGCGAGCGTTCGACGCGGGCCGTGGCGCTCGCCGCGCTCGCGATCCTCGTCGTTCTCGGTCCGCACCCGCTCTGGGCGGATGAGACTGAGACCACCACCGCTCCTCCATTCGGTAAGACTACCATGCAAATTCTATATTAGTGGGTAATTATAGAACCGTCTTGTGCTCAGTGTAGATGCCCTAAACCATAGTATAATAAAACAAGTGAGGCTTCCGCCGCGCATCAATGCGTACACTTTCTTTTACGCGTGTTTAAATCACCGCAACAATAAACACATGTACAATTTGATACCACATTTTAATAACTGAGCAAACGCTTAATTTCCATAATGAATGGCGCTTACAAGGCGCGGCGGGCGTGCACACATGCAAGGCGTGCTACTACGTTTGTTCGGAGTTGCCCTACTCGTCTTATTATGCAATGCCTAAACCCAAGTCTATTGTACGACAGAATTTAAATTTAAAAAAAAATCCTTTTATCTATCACATTCTATCGAATGCACACACTAAATGGTGCACACGAAATTAAAACGTAGTAGGTACTTATATTCTCCGTTCATAATATCGGCAAATTCATTGATCTGGTGAATGGGAAAATTCTACTAATTCGAATCTAATTCATACAATACGCAAAAACGTATAATGAATTATCTACACCATGAATTACAGAATTCATAGGGCATTGAAAAATACTTTTTCAGTTGTTATAACCTATTTAGAGTACTTGTATGTACACCACTATTAGATACGTAATACTAAAATCACTTTCGTTATTTTAGTATGATAGTTATATTTTGGTAACTATAGCATGTAATAAGGCTAGGTAGGTAGGTAGGTAACAAGGATATTTTATATTGCAATCACTTTATATTGTCGCGTAACGTAATAGACACAAATATTTGTAATCATAGCATAATGGACTTTATATTAATTGTTTGTAATATACGTAATGTACAAGCTAGATACGAGACAGGAAACAGTTCGCAAGTCTTTCGGATGAATGTCGCGTAGTCTCGAAATTTCCCGCAGCTACAGTATAGTTATCTACTTTGTACGTTACACGATTGATAGAAAGTTTTTTATTCCACGCACAATTTCGTTACATAAAGTCGCTTTCAATCAATTGACCGTAAGGCCGAAAACGTAAACTTGCAATTCTCGTGGTTCTCAGTTTGTGCCTGCTTTGGGCAGAGGATTTTGAGACCACTGGTTTTGAGTTACCAAGTAATAATTATAACATGTTATTGTTCTGAGTTGTTCGCTCCATAGTCAGTAAAACTATTGAATGTATAGATTATCAACTGGATACGGAAATTCAATACTCTGTTTACATTTGCATTGTATAGATATTTTTATTTTGACTTTAAAAACTGTTGAATAACCTTGTAGTTACAAACCTAATACGACGTAAGATAAAATTAGATTAAACAACTGGGTACTTAAAAAAAAGAATTATCTTTTTTCTTTTCTAATCATCGCTTAAATCTGTTATCAAATTTCTTCTTTAGATCCATCAAAACGTGGCAACAAGAAATATGGAGATCATTGCTCCGAAGACATCGACTGCAGCTTCGAACATTCCGTCTGCGACGCCGTGCACAAGCTTTGCCGTTGTGACGAGGATTATGTCACCAACCACGTCGATAAGTGTGGAAAACGTGAGTGTCCTTATAAGTTTTATGTAATAGTGGATCTCAGTTTCCAAACAATTAAGGTCTATAATTGCCAGGGTTAACTAGACGAACGGAAGGGCCCCTGACACAGTCGAGCAAGCAGCGGCCTTACACCCTTTTTTCAAAGAAACTCGAGACACCTATAGTCCCCCATCTTTGTCTTGGATTAGACTATAATCTTGATTCATGTTGTCTTCAAAATGTTCCATTTAACTTTTCCTTTTATAGAGATTCTTTATTTGAACAATTTTATGTTAGAAAGATAGAAGGTTTGTTTACTGTATTATGCCCAAAATCGGTCTAGGTCTTTTTCTTACATTTTTGCAAGACAAGACCAAGACCACCTACCTAATTATAGTAAAACCGAGACTAAATTCGACCCTGCTAGATTAGTAACGTCAAACTTAGACAGGCGCGTTTGGTATTGACGAATTTGTTTCAAATCAATATTGATATCATACAAAAAAGTTGGTTCTTGTATATAAGATGCAAATCTATTGTATCTATGATTATATTTTTAAAGTAAATATTTTTTTATTTACGTAAAATAATGTGTAACTGTGATAAAAATGTAGCAAAAAAACAAGCAAGCAAGCGAAGTTAGCGAACTATCAACAACAATGTATATCGAAAATCGAAAAACTAACTAATGAGAAGGCGTAGGCGATGAGAGGGCAGGAGCTTCCCTTGAGCGAGTTGGTTTGCATCCTTTATATATTATAGTAATATTAATAAATTAGTAGCTAGCTGTTTAGTAACTATTTCTGCTGCGTTCTGGTTTTGAAGGGTAAAAGTGCTAGTGAAATTACGTGGCTGTAATGGGACTTGTAAATTTGTGAGTTACTCAACTGACCCTCAGATCTTTGGTATTGAAAGTTCTGAGTGGCACTGTGACTGTTATGGACAGGCGTGTCGCTTATTGCCAGGCGCAATGCTTGCTTGTTCCGTCACTTGGTATTATAAAAGAACATATAGTTTGATAAGTAACAATAGGTAATTGCAAGTTTTGCAAAACTCTTACAGCAAGACCAAGACCAAGATGTACTGACGTGAGACCGGGACCAAAATTGGGATTAGTCTTATTTTGGTCTGGTATAGGGTAACACTAGTTTCATTTTTTACAGTGTACGTACCAAATATTTAGGCAAAAGTACTTAGTTAGGAAACAAAACCCTTAAAACTGTTGTAAATATAAATAGGGTTTATACTGGTTTGCCAAAGCAAAAAACATTCAAGTTAACGCGTATTTGTAAATAATTCATGTTGAGTAAACATTATTGCATGTTCAATCTTGATTAAAAATGTTTCTTTGAAAATAATTATCACTTCCTTTGTTTTGTTTCTTTGTATAATAACTGTAAATTACAAAGTTTTACCTTCCACGAATATTTCAAGATAAATCTTTACTTTGGTGTTTTATATTCTTTTACTTTAATCTGTTAAGCCAAACAGAATTCATATTTCCTATTCCTCCCAGAGGCACAGCAATTTTTCAAATGCACAGCAGAAGCAAGATTTACATCCTCCAGCGGGCTCTTTAATGCTGCAGAAGCCTCTAATGCTAGTTTGAAAGAAATTTTATGATTTATTGTCCACATAAATTTGGCCTTTGTAGAACACAAAAAAATTAATTCCTTGCCGAACGTTTTAAATTTATTATTGTTAGAATTTTAACTGCTTCGATGTAAATTCACCGCGGGATATCATCTTTACTTGGTCGATATTTCCTTCAGGCGTACTAAGCGCTTTTCGTCATCTTTTATTATGCGCACAGCCCAGGAGTGCAATTCACTGTCTGCGACTATGTTTCCGAATATTTTTAATGTGCGTCTTAATAGGCATCTTCTGGGCGAGCTCGTCCCTTCATTCCTATCTTGGCTTCAAGGCTAGGTAGTAGGCAAGAGCAAGTTCATTTACTTTAAAAAAAAGGAAAAAGTTGGGCTTCGACACAAACTTCTATTTAATAATAATAATAACGCACACATTCAACATAGCCCCGCATTTGGGAAACCCTGTGTCGCGAGTATGTGTGTGCCTGTGACACACACATAGGCAATCACAAATTACACCCAAACTCACGAGAGAAATAACTATAGGCCATACAAATATTTCTCCCGACCCGGGAATCGAACCTGGGACCTCCGCGTGGCAGTCCGGCATGGTAACCGTTCGGCCACAGAGGCAGTTTAGAACTAAACTCACGAAAAATTGTGTAATGTTTTTGAATTTGTATTCATATTAAAGTAAATATTATTAAAAATTAGTGACAGCGGTAACAGTCTTCTGAGTGTCATTGCATTCAATGTCCAGGGTTCTTTTCATGAGCACTAGACACGAATGCATATTATTATTAATGTCTATAAAAAAAAGCTAATACTAACTGCGTGACAGTCCAGTTAATTTGCTATACTTGAATTTATACTATTACTAACTAGTCATTATTTTATAGGGAATTAAAACGAAAGAACCTAATAAGTGTAGAGAGTGAATTTTCGGAATTACCAAATATAGAACCATTTGGCAGTAGTCCAAATTAAGAAACTGATTAGGAACAATCTCAAGTCTATGTTATGTTTCTGTTCAACATACCTTTGTTGTAAATTGTAACTTTTTTTTATTTTAAGGATTCCGATTTAATAGCTATAGAGATCCTTGTCAAAGATTTCGTCCATGGAACTACTGTCTCCTTAATTATGGCCGTTTCGTTGTCGGCGCGGTAGTGGTGCGGCATCGGTATGCTCGGTATACGCAGTATCGAAAGCTTACCGAGCACCTACATTTCAATGTGCGTGCTTGGTGGTGCATGGCCGAAAACTCTTGCCTGAGAGGATGCCCGTGCCAAGTAATGGGATGTATAAATGGGTTGTTGATGATCTAAATCAGGTTACATTTTCATTCACACCATGTTGCAAAAATTCTAAGAACAACGTTTTCTCAAAACAGTAAGGCCATTAAAACAAAAATTCAACACTAACGTCACAAAGGGACTTTTCAGTAAGTAATTATATTAACAGTTCAATTCTACAACCGTAGCCTTAAAGCGAAACAATTTCCCCTGGGATGTGCAAGATTGATCTTTGTTCTGAAAATGGATGATCTCTGTCCAAAGACAACTTTGATGTTTCAGTTTTGTTGCGGTTGAATTGTTTTCTTTGTTATAAAGGAAGTATTTTCTTTACATTGTTTTTGCATCTTAGGATTCGTGTAGTTCCTAAATTGTTGTGAAGAAGAGTTCAACACAGGCTATTGACAAGTGTTCGTTATAAAATAATGGTTTACATCGAATTTTTGAGCAAATGTTCAACAACAAAAACATAGTAGATGTATTATTTTCCATTTTTCAACTTTTTAAACACGCTACTAGATCAATGATTCTATTAGTAAAGTAAAATATTGTTAAACTCTACTAAATAACGGCATATAAATTAACCCTAGCGTTCAAGCTTCCCAGGGAAAACCCGGTCGATCGATGCCAGCCAAAGTTGCAAGTCGCGTGTCCTAGAGTTTTGTTCTGTCACTATTAAATGCAGTTATTATATATTAGCTAGGGTTATACAAGGTTACTTGGATGATAAATCAGCGTTATTAACGATGAGTCATATAATTATGTTAAAAACTATTCGGTTTATGTATTTGTTTAGTTTTTAGACTGACCACGATATGTAATTCATTTTAGTGATTTTGTTAATAAAAATATATTTTTCCTGCTACCTTTGGATTCCGTTGAAAAATGTGTTAAGAGATGAATGTGTTAGGTGACTCGGAATCAATAGGAGTGAAGCTGCAGTGTCTTGAACACCGCCGAAAAGTTGTCTGCTTGTCGGTATCGTACAGGATATGTGTTAAAAACAGGTATAGTACTATTTTTCAAAGTCCGAACTTCGGAGCTGTTCGATTTTTACGTACACACATCAAAAAAAGTTTGCGATCACTTCGAAAAACTGAAATCTTTTTTGTTACTGTAGATTATATTATGATTTTTTCTTCTTTTTAGATTCTTTATTTAAAAATAAATTAGAACATAAAACAATGACCCCGTTCAATTGTTTTTTCATATAAAAAGGCTTTCAGTCCTAGCTTACGCTCATTCAGAAATCTGATTTAGTCAATTATAAGCGATTCAAGATATTTTTCGCGGAAAGTTGTGATTGAAAAAATGCCAAGAGGATTATCAGAGGTTTTACGAGCTAGAATAGTAACTTTGAGGGAAGAAGGATACACCACGAGAGTAATAGCACGCAGACTTGCTATATCCCAATCCTGTGTCGTGGCTACGTTGCAGAGGTATCACGGAATGGGGAATTTAGCTGACCGACCCCGCAGCGGTCGCCCAACTGTTTTGACAGCTGCCCAAAAGCGCTGTATTAGATTGCTGGCAGCCCGTGATCCAACAATCAACGCCACTAAAATAAAAGCAGAAGTCAGGGCCGCCTCTGGGCTTGAAGTTAGCACGCAGACCGTTCGCAATTGCTTGCACCAGGCTGGATTACAAGCACGGAGGTCTTGGCGAGCTCCGCTCAATTCCCGGCAACGTCAACAACGAAGATTGCAGTGGGCTAGACTTCGGCAAAATGAAGAAGGTGAGGACGAAAACATTTGGCAAAACTGTCTCTTCGTTGACGAATCCCGAATCAGCACTCATCCAGATAACCGACGTGTCCGTGTCTGGAGAAGACCAGGCGACCGTGAAAGACAAAGAACTGCCACTGGAACAGTTCAGCAAGGCGGAAAATCGGTGTCCTTTTGGGGTGGCATTATGATTGGAGCTAGAACGCCTTTGATCCCGTATTGGGGCTTCATGACAGCAGACATGTACAAAGCAGTTGCTATTGATGATATTGTCAGACCATTCCGAGTAAACCATGGGCACCAATTTGTACTGGTCGATGATAATGCGCCCGCACATCGAGCTCAACGAGTCAATGCTGCTCTTCAAGAATACGATATCACACGATTAGACTGGCCTGCCGGCTCGCCCGACTTAA